GGATAACTCATAATAACAATATTTATCCTTTGAAATAAAAATTAGTTAAAATTTTTATTGAGATGTAACTAACAGTAAAATTTACTGGATTTGCGTTTTTTTTTGTTTTGTTTTAAATGTAAATTTTTATGTGGTTGAAGTAAGGTCCACAAATTTGTATGTGTTGCTAATTATTGATTGTACTTTTGAAAAAATAATGGAGCACTAGATTTTATATACGAACCACAATTTATAATCTAAAAAAATTATGTACATAAGATATTTATTTATTTATTAAAAATACAACACACAACGCCCAAGGAGTACTTCTGCATGAAGGCTTGCATGTAAATTGTCAAAAGATACATTGTGTACTAGTATAGAATAAAAACAACTAGTATAAAACAAGTTAGGTTATTAGCAAAATTTACAAAGTTATGTCAATGCCAATAAGTTATGTCTACTACAATCAGACTGATAAAAATTCCTCAATGCTGTAAAAACAGTTGTCTAACTAACAGGTAAGACAGTAAGTGTAATCGGAACTTTTTAAATGATTCCTCTCTCCTCTTTCCCACCTCTTTCAGTGATAAAGGAAGCTTATTATATAGTTTGAGACCCATATAAAAAGTGCTCTTTTCATAAGCAGCAGATTTATGTATGGGGTATTGCAAAACAGAGCTCATGGGCCTAAAAGCTGAATTGGGAGTTAGTTTTTTTCCTTCAAAAATAGAAAAATGTTTTTTGACAAAGATTAAAGTGTTGAATATATACTACAAGGGCACAGGTAAAATCTTCATCCTTTTAAACACTCTTTTGTATTTTAAATAGTATTTTACTATCTGTGGCAATTCCCCAGAACTCAATAGTCGCAATACCATAGCCATGTTAGAGTGCACGTATGCAAAGTATACCATTATCTGAGTTTTTTCATCTATTATTTTTAGAAAGCACTAAAGTTAAGTGAAATGCTGCATTAAGCTTTGATTCCAATTTTTATATGATCAGACCATGATAAAGCTGAGTCTGATTTTATTCCCAAAAGGTTGCAAGATTGAATTTGACTTAATATGCCTTCTTCTTGGGTTATATAGTCAATCTGTCTACTTTTTATGCTGTTAGAATGGAAGTTTACGCAATATGTTTTATTTCTGTTGCGTTTAAGATTATTGGCCAGAAACCATTCAGTCTTAAGATCAAGATCATTTTTAAATTCAATTTTTTTAATGTCAGGGTCTATTTTTTAATACTGCAGTAGTATCATCAGCATATATTACCAATTTTGAATTAAGAGTTTGTTTCAAGAGATCATCAATATAAATAAGAAACAACAACGGACCCATATTATTGAACCCTAGGGAACACCTTCAGTGACATTTTTGTAGTTTGAATAGATTCAACCTAGTGCAGGAAGTGTATTTATTGATATACCTTTTCCCTAACATTTTTTTTACAGTTTTATGTTTTATTTACTTGTACCATACTGTAAGTTATAAAACAAAAAAATATTTAGGCTTTTATCTTAATATTGAAAAAAGATACAGTGGAGTCCCGATAATCCGAACTTTGGTAATCCGAAAGTCCGCTTAATCCGAAACAAAAAAATATATTTTTTAAATTTTTTGTAATAAAAAATTTTTTTTTACATTTTCTGAATTTTTTTCAAAATTTTTTGAATTTTTTTTCGAAATTTTTTGAAATTCTTTTCGAAATTTTTGAAGTTTTTTGGAAAGTTTTTGAATTTTTTTTTTTTACTTTTTACACAGTTAGCTGTACCTCGTCAAAGAATTCTGTAGCGGCTGGGCGAGATAGACTTTTTTTGTAGAGTATTTTAGTAGATTAATATTTCACCATTTTTGTTATTCCCGTAACATTTTACATTTTCGTCCGCCAAATCACAAATGGATTTTACTAAGTGATAATGCTGCAGCCAATAGGTCTAGCCTTAAGTAATGTGAAAAACAATCCCGGGCTCGTGCCTGCGTCCAAAAAAAAGTAGTAAGAATAAGACAAAAAAATTTCAAAAAATAAAAAAAATTTCAAAAAAAAAAAATGTTTAATCCGAAATATTCGGTAATCCGAAATGGGCCCGGTCCCAACCATTTCGGACTAACGGGACTCTACTGTATAAGGTTTTTAATAAAATACTGCAAAACTGCCAATGTGAGCCCGGCACTCAAGGGTTACTACTTATTAAAAACACCGGCACTCAAGAGACAGTTCTTTAAAAAAAAAACCTCGGCTCTCAAAGGGTTAAGCGCTGTAAATTATGCGTTGATTGGTGCAAGATGTCTATTGTAGAATGAGCTGAGCCGTTTAGCCGCAGTAGCTTGATTTTTTACATGTGCTTGTTAGGTGAGTTAGGTGCATGAAGTTGAGAAGTTCTTGTGAAGCGGGTGGATTAGTTGAGGTGATAGTAGCCAACCCATTAGTGGTAATTTTCTATCTCAATCTCTCTGGATTTAGTGTATTACTAATCCAAAGCTGGACTTGTAAATAAGCTTTAAAGGAGTGCTGAGGAGCAGCCCCTTCTGTAGGAGGCAAGATTGCCAAGTCAAAATTAGTTTTTACAGCAACCTCTGGAAGAGGTCATACCTCACTTCAGATTTGCTGCTCTCACCCGTTTAAAGGGTTTTCATTGAGTCAACGCCTGCTGTCGCAACTTTGTCAGGAGTAATCCATCAAAACACCACGGAAGATCCACTTTGATTGGAGTAAACAGATTGAACAGTTCAGATTTATGCTCTTCCACATCATGCAGTCGCTTGGGTACGGAGCTATTTCGAATACAAAGTATGATTCAAGCTGAGGCTTGGATTTCATGTGGACTGGGATGCGGTGTAAAATTGTTTCCAGACTGATAGGGGCAGATTCTTCATTGAACTTTGCTGTTGTCTTCACAGCTTGTAAGGTCACTACATGGTTTTTTCTACACTGTTTAAAACGGCCTTTCAACGGCATTTCATATAATTAAGGTTAAGCTGTGCCCTTTTATATGCTTTGTAGCAGTTGATACTATAATTTGCGATAACTCTTGTGCTGATGGACATCAGGAAACTCATTTCAGTAAATCGGCGATGGCACTGATACCATTTGCTGAGTTTATGCAAATCGTTAACATCCCTCTGTTCCCTGGAGTTTTTCGTGTCAAGATGCTGATGAGATATTGAAGAGGTGATCTAAACATTGCCCTCATTTTGATGGTTTTGATGCAAACCTTCCACTGCAATGGGCATGACAGCGATCCATCAGGTTAGAGTCCCATTATTGATTTCCCTTCCACAAGATCCCCCTCGACAAGAAGATATTCATATTATTCATTCTGATAGCCCCTGGACTACGAATAATGACTTATATAGGCTTACCTCCATCAGTAGTCCAAAATTGTGTTCTATTTCAACTAATGTTGTTCAAAGCTTACATGTTTCGTTGCAATGCAACATCGTCGGAGCTTTTTGTCAAAAACATCAAATAATTTAAACATATAACAAAACACGGAACACGAAACATTTAAACACGAAATAACACGATAGCGCTATCATGACACGGCACGGCAGCGGTTGTAGGTAGACTGCAGCTCCGACGATGTTGCATTGCAACGAAACATGTAAGCTTTGAACAACATTAGTTGAAATAGAACACAATTTTGGACTACTGACGGAGATAAGCCTATATAAGTCAAGAAGATATTGCTCCAATGAGCACTTACTAGAACAACGGTCATATCTAGCCATGATGGTTAAAATAGCCCAACTTTTAAGAGCTCCTGCAGCTAAACGGCTTATTCGATTTCGGTGTATTTAACACCAATCAAGGTATAATTTACTGAGCTCAAAGAAACAACTGGCCAAAAATTTCTGTAGGATGTGTCATTTAGGAGTTGAAGCAAAAACCTGGAAAAGTGCAACAAATTTTTTTTTTCGACTTCCAAAACTTAAGCAGAAAACAGAATCGGCCGCAAACTTACAGGACTCTTATTCTGGACCCAAAAAAGGTATTAAACCACTTTCCACCTTTATTCGTTAAGCACAGCCTTCTTTTGTATAATTTACCTGGACTATTGGTATTTTAGATACTTTTTAACAAAATTAAAAAAAAATACATGATAAATAGAATAATTGATAATATCTTGATTCTACATAGAATGGAAGAGTTATTTTCTAAGTTGAAGCCAGGAATTGATAAAGATAGTAAGTGTAATCGGTTCAAGAGAATAATTTGTAAAGTGATAGTTTAAGAAAGTCTACTGTCTAGCAAAAAGTTCTACTTTCACAGAGTAACTGCTTATCTACAGGGCTCTTCTAACAAACATCTACTGAGAAAATGTCTGTTGTTTCATCTTTCTATCTATATCGTTTAAGAATATAAAATTGACATAAAATACAAAATAAGACTTTGTGAAAACTTAAATACCCTCTGACCCCCGATATTCTCCAAGTTCATATCCAAGCTAAGTGTATCAAACTTGTTAAACAAAATAACAAAATACATAAACACTATCCGCCTCATACCAGGCAGATGTTAGTTTTATGAGTTGAGTATTGTACCTAATAATGTGAGTTAGAACAATGTTGTAGTAATACATATAGCCTATTTTGACTTGTTTTATTTTGCCTAAAACATAGGCGGTTTATGTAATAGATAAATTTTTGTTGACTTTTGTCTATTGCATTTGTTGTAAATGTTGAAGGTGTTTGAAAATTTTCATTTAAGCCTGTCTTTAAATCGAAAAATATATAAGATCTGATGATTTGATTGTGGGTTCTAATTCGCTGGTATCTGATGACTATACAAAAATTTAGAGCTAAATTTTAAAAAGTACAAAGCTCATCTCAGTCATCTCTGTAGTTGAATAAAAAATATGTTGTCTAGCACATCAAATATTGATTTGTAAATCTTCTGTGTAAGTTGAACATGCGGTATGCTTCATTTGAACATGTGTCACAGTAGTGCAAAATGCATAGCATGACAACAAAAATCATGCCCATGCCTCATGCCCAAGGACTCAGTAGACTACTCACCTCGCACTATGGCTCAATAGAATGATATTTCTGTAATAAACCACCATCAACTTATTTATGTGAACTAGAAACATAAGTTGACAAAGTGTTTCATAAATTTAATTGTGAAAAAGTGTAGGATACTGTCAAAACTATACACTGTTCAAAAAAAATATTTTAATGTAATAGATCCCATGTAAACTCCGACTTTGGATTGCTAAATAAAAATATTAACCTTAAAACTCAGAATAAAAACCATGTGTAAAGGGAGAATTTGATAGTAAAAAAATATTAAAATATATCTGTAAACAATTTTTGAATCCTCTAAGCATCCTTGTACTTGTTGTTTAAATTGTATAAAAATAGCAGCATACATTGGAAATAGTGTCCTTCATTTCCTAGAAGTGGTGTTATTGAGAGAATTAATAATTACTATACACTTCATTGGTTTACATACCTGAGAAGTCGAGTTATATAGTCTGGCCAATTTTCGGGGAACATAACTAGAAAGAAGCCAATGGATATGAGAACCATCCCGGCCAGCTTCATTCCATAGAAGTGAGCGCCATAAAGGACTACATCCAGTGCTGAACACAACATTGCAATGTTAGCTTTGAAAATATTGCCACAAAACTTTGTAGAACTAAGTATTCATTTTTCACATTTTAGCGAACTTCCCATATCTATATAAATAAAATTAGAGTTTTGTCTGTACATTGCTCAGAATCATACATTTTTAGGTTATTTTTACGTTTTATACATTAAAGAAGCCGAAACAAGTCTCATCTAAATTTCTGTCTGTCTGTCTGTCTGTCTGTCTGACACACTCAAGATGGCATTTTACGCAATCTTCTCCAGGAAAACGAGAGTACCTATCAAGACCCAAGTCATTTTAATGTATTCACTGGATTGGCGAGAGTGTCTTTAGCCATTAAAATATGGTCTCACTACTTTGTAATTAAAATTACGGCCGTTCAAAAATGCAGTTTTGTGCGATTTTTGTCAAGTTTTCTTCCAATTTGTATCACATAATCATCTATAAAACAACGAACAGCTGTTCGGATCAAGATTATTTTTTCTAGCTGTCACTGAAATGTTTACAAATGTTGTTTACAAACACCACAACCATTTCCGATCACGTTTTGAAGGCAAATCCCATCCAAGTGAGATTAAAAACGTTTTTATTACATAATAAAGGATTTAATTAATCGCAAGTGGAATAATATAGTGTAACCGTAAATTAAATAACTAGGCATCATCCAGGTCAGGAACCAGAAATATGTGTATAAAATTGTTTTGGAGTTTTGATAACCAGAAAGAATACATTTAATCAAGATTGAATCAGTGTTGTATACGGCTGGGAAACTTAAATTTACTAATGACCGTCGCCAATAGCTTAGAAACAATGTTCCACTCATTGACGGCTCTTCAATGGCGGTTGTGTAAAGTGTAAAGCAAAAAATTACAACTGCAGTGGGTGATTGTAACAGAGGTTTACGGATGATGCTGAACTCGATTTTCCAATGTGTCACTTTCTGTTCCTACCATTGACTATATAAAGTCAATAGTTCCTACTCACCGTGTGATGCAATCGCTGGACCATACAGCCAATAGGCCCATAGCCCTTCTCTTGGGTACGTGTGGCACGTATGCTTACCCAATTTTTTATAACAACCCTTTCGAAAACGATCCTTGATACCGGTACTTTTCCATAGAATACACGGCCTACCTAGGTACTTAAGAAATAAAATTATAAACGTCCAAAAACCCAACGTTGTGTGATTTTTGTCACATTTCCTTATAATGTTAATATATATACCAGCAACCATTGTTTAGAGAATACGTAATCTATTAAATAACAGAAAGTTATGTTGTATAAGGTTTTTTTTCAAACTGACACCGATAAGTTTACATTAAGAGTTGTGTACAAATAAAGCAATTAATGGGAAAAAACTTTGATTGCCGATAACTTTTTACGAGAAAATCCAAAACCAAGAGATCAATAACCTTGATTAACGCATATAATTGGTCGGCTGTACTACAGTTCTTAACTGTAAACGTTGGTTTTTGGTACGGTACTGGTTCTTTTCCTTTTAACCTTTAGTAGCAGCAAGAATCATTTTTACGTACCAACACATCACAGTAATTTACAAATTAGTTATCGTTGGTGTTGCACCTTATTTATTACAGGAGTAGGCCTATTCAATTTAATTGATGTCTTAACTGTATAATTTTTGCTCTTTCTGTCTGGATTCCAAAATGTTATGCTAAGAAAACTATAACGCATTTTAGTAAAACATTTATTCAGCAAACCATCATGAATTGTTCAAACACTTTGAACGTTGTTTATGTATCAATAGTTCGTGGCCTATTTTGGTAATTTTTATTACAAATTACCAATCTAAATCGTCTATAGTAGGCCTACTGTACTTCATTTCATATAGCAAACCGATTCAGATAGCATTTCAACAGAATTTCGAGTCATCTCCGGTCCAAGCAAATATAAATTGTTATGATCAAATGTTATGGCATTAATAAAGATTTCAAGTACTAATTTTATATGTACCTTTTTATGCTTAAAGCGTAGCAGATTCCCTAATTAAGTTTGGTATTTTTGTGTGTATGTATGATGGTAACGCATTAATGTCCTTGTTTCTCAATGTTTCACGGAAAGGACAAGAGCGCCTTGATAATGAAAATGTCAACCCGAATAAAGTGTTAAATTAAGAGGTTGAGGTAGTACACCTTAAATACTTTTAACCATTTTAAATTCTGAACAAAATTGTACAAATCCCATTTCCGTATATTTACTCTCACCGCTTACACAATGATAAAGGTTGTTGACAAACTTATGGGAGAAAGTATGTGTCAGAATGCTGATACCGTTTATTTAGTCATTGGATATAACATATGGACCAACAAGATCCGGGTGACATTTAATTGCGAAGCATTAGTTTTGGCTTGAAACTGTCAGATACTGTATTTGCGAAGGAATAGTTTTGTCAGCATATCTGAAAGTATGCAAACCAACTGCTGTGCTTTATATAAGAAGGTTTTAACTGACTATGATAAGATCCCCGTGCGTAGAACGGGCACACAGCTAGTAGGGAATAAGCTATTACCATAGTAGGCCTACTCATGGTAAGACCTGGACCAGGGACCGACTTTCTTTTTCATTATTTTTTTCGGCAGCCATCTTGGATCCGCCATTTTGAAATGTGATAAATTATTTTAAATATTAAAGGGGCATTGTGACCCATCATTTCGGATTACTTTTTTAAGCTGAACCCAACTCCATGATCCATTTTTCATTTTCATATTTTGATTTTGAAATATTAACATTTTAACAAAAAAATTTCAATATTTCATAAATAAAACTTGATAACAAAAAATGGATTCGAGACCTTTTTTACGGGATCGAGACCTTTAATTTGAGCCCTCTCCCGTCATTCTACGACTTTCCAGTCGCCCACAATTTTGACGCAAAGAATCGGCTTACGGAATTAATATATAGATTCTTAGTTTGTTTGAATATTAAAATAAGCTGTTTTACATTTTGAGCTTTTTAGGGACTTGCCCCTAGTTGTTCATTAAACTGATATTCTCCTTGATTTATAATAAATACTAAAACATTAGTTGTTTAATGTTTACCAGCAGATACAGGCACAGCAGTGATAAGCCCCAAGGTGATGAACAGGTCATAAGTCACAGCCACACTGAAGTTGCCCAGAAGATTTGCCACTGAAACAAATGGAAATACTACAGTCACTAAACCGGACAAATGATGGGAACGCTGTTTTACAGTTTTATGGGGTAAAAAAAATAGTTTTTCTAATTTTTGACCATCAAAACACAAAATTTCCCAATTTCTCTCTAGACCATTTTAAAGAGCTTAAAAAGACAAATAATTAAATATATTGAAGTGTTTTGTGTTGTTATTGGTTACGGAGAAAATTCAAAAAATTTTAAATTTAAAATCCCCATGTTATTTTTATGGAGAATATTGTAAAATGTTGTAGTTTGCTTGTTTATGGATATATTTTGATCAAACTTGGCAAATTTATTTATTTTAAGCTATTAATATTTTACTAAAAACACACTTCATTAGCCTCCCTGTAACAGCAAACCTGGGTACTAGTTTAACCTAAAGTTATTTAAATAGATTTAATTGTATATATTTAAATAGATTTAATTGAATATCAATTCAGGCAAATGGAAATTCGCTTAGTGTGCAGGTTTGCTGCGGCGAGGGTATTTTGTACCTAAGAGAAGAATGGCCCAAACCCTGGTCTTAATGTTGAACTTATTTTACTCTACAACATGGACAGTTTTATATTGGTGCTTGACTAGTATCTTTACACTTTTAGTGGGTGGGTCGGAATTCAAATATTTTTGTAGCTGATTATTTTAACATTTAATTGAACATTGAATAATATTTGAGCTACACGAAAAGAGCTACACATAAACAACCCACCGACATTCTTGTCAGGGGGAAGCCTATAACGGTTGGTATTTTCTAAACACATATTATTTGAGATTGTAAACTTAATTTATCATTTTGTTTGAGTTAAGCCTCCGAATCACTGGTCACCTGTACTGGTGAAATTACCTGCTGTCAAGTGATCCTTATGACCTTGAAAGGCGACCAGTTTCGATCCTCACGGGATCATCTTCAGGCGGATGTCGTCATCGTCTTTTTGTTCTTCCAAACAAGTAGTTTTTTTAAAAAACATTGAGATTTACAGTTTTACAACACTTAAATGACTTAACACAAAACACAAAAAATGGCCAATAACTGAAAACTAAAAACCTAAAAAAACAACGTGTTCACAAGAACTAAAAGACAATGGTAAAGTCCGCCTGAAGATGATCCCATGAGGATCAAAACCGGTCGCCTTTCAAGGTCATAAGGATCACTTGACCAATAGTGATTAATAGTAATTTCACCAGTACACAACTTAATTTAGTTTATATTATGGCCAGTTTTATTTGGCTGTCAGATACACCATTGTAGGGAGCGTTAAAGAAACTAATGAAACGGCTTTATTTTTAGTGGCATATAAAGTTGTTGTACACCTGTAGAGAATTAATTGCTATTATGTACAAGAATAACAGTTATTGTAAAGTTAATGACAAACCCAGAGATAGAATGCTAGCAGCCAGTAGAGCAGGCCAGGGAAGTCGGTCCCAATAGAGGGTCTCCATCCCTGTGAAGTATAGGGTAAGACACAAAGGCCACAGAAGGGAAGCGTTCAGCAGACCGATGATGGAGAAAAACAATGACACCTGTCCATAGCTGGCGTCGCCGATGACTTTCTTGAACAGTACCTTCAATAAAGTGATGTTGTAGGAAAAGGTGTCAGTCAAAGATATAACTGTAATATAATTAGCTAATTTCCCTCACATTTTGTAAACTGTCACCTTAAAACCTTGTCGATATAAACTGTGAAAGATAACATTTTAGCATTTAGCAACTCGAAGGAATGCTTTTTTGAAAATTCAACACAGAACCCAGATGTCAATGATTTTTTATTGTTAGTTAATTAATGCTTCATAACGTACCACAGGTTGGGATATACTGATCATAACAGTTCAGTGACAGCAAGCAGTAAGGTAAAGCTATGGTTCCACAGTCTGCGGAATTTCCGCCGTGGGGTGCGAAATTTTCCACTGCGGAATTACGACACTGGTTCAATGGAGTTCCCTTTGTCCGGTTCCACTGACGTCCGTTTACATGTCCGGAATATACGGTTCCGCATGGTGGATTGATTAATCATACTGGTCTGAGAGCAGTAGCAGTGCGGAATCCGCCAGCGGAGAGGAGCTATCAGCTATTGTGACCAAGTATGTCTTGTGTGGTAAAAAGAGGTGTTTATGGATGTTTACTAGCCTGAAGCAATGTAGGCCTACCTTGTAAACTGCGGAGCAGGCAGCTGCAGATGCTGCTAACACAACCCCACTGAGTGTCGGACTGCCAGTGATGCCATCCATGTAGGCCAGTAATGCAACCCCTGTGTCACACAAGATCACAGCAACTATCTGTGAAAACAATCAAGTGCCTCACAGTAATCTATATTATTAATACGCTACATGAAACTTTGTAAACAATAAGGCTTTTTTATTTTAAGATTTAACCCCACATATTATATACCAAAATGTTTGTCAAGGTGTGTAGATTTGCAAACTGGCCTTACATTTTTGAGAAAGTCCCTTGGGCTCTGCCCCAGTGGCTTTTAAAGTTCCCATGTTATCCTTATGAATAACATATTTGTTTACATTATGATCAGCTGGATAATGTAATTGCTGTTAATATTTTAGTTGCAATTTAAGGAAACGTGTGCTACAAACATTTACTTACTTGGTTGAAATTAAATATTTATTTGGATTGGTGTAAATATTACAATAAAAAAAAACCGAGAAAGCCTGGACAATTTGATATACTAAAAAGAAAACTGAATTAATACTGTGCTGCATTTCTTGAGCATTCATTGAAAGAGCTGATTTACAAATAGGGAGGGTTGGTACTTATTGGTGATTGGTATTTGCAAACTATGGAAACATAGGAAAGTCATAGAACACCGCCAAGTAGAAGAAATATAAATAAATTTTTTTTTGGTTGAATTTATAATCGTTATTATGGACAACATAATGCGGCTATGAGTGGGAAACATTTGTAAAAACACTAAAAAACAAGATCAGCTTTTCTGAAAAATTGTAAGATATTTACAAGAACTTTTGTTTATATCAAACTGTTATGTACATCATGAGAATTTCCATAATCTTTGAGTCTACTCTTTTAAAGTAATTATGACAGTAATTTGTTTTAAAATAACGCCTGTAATATTTCGCAATTGCTTGAATTCAAGCAACAGGTACACTAGTCACTTTTATCTAACCTTTTATCACAGTTTACTGGATACACTGAGTCCATCTCAGTATGGCGTTATACTGTAGTGAGTGTCTACAGAGTTTAAATCCTTACTAACCGTACAGAATGTGAAAACTTGTTTAAAAATCGCGGATTTTTTTCAATATATCTACATTAAGATCATAGCACAAAACAAAATTTTCCAGAAAAAGTAAACTTTTATATTATTTAAAAACAAGAAACAAAAGTAAGGATAGATTACTACATCACAAGTTTTAAAATGCATCATTAAATTGTTTACCACTCAAAAAGAATGTTTTACCAAGCAAATAGTTATTTGTGTAACCAGTGTGCGAAGTGGCACTTTGCTGCACATGAGAGAAATGCTTACGCACGAGCTGCAGGCAATTAAGGAAAGTTTCTAGAGTGCAGCAAAGGCACTTTGCGCTCGTGTTAAACATTATATTTTCCCTACAGTTACTATAAAGCATAGAAATAATTAGTCTTTCAAACACTACGTTTTAGGTTAGGTTAAATCCAAGCGTTGAACAATATGGGAAACACTGAAACAGCTGATCGTAGTCGTAGTGTCTTTAAGTATTTTTCCAACTTATTTTATAAGCGTTTACGTATCACATGCCTAATAAAAGCACACTGTTTTGTGTTGTTTGGTTGGAATACTAGAGTGTGGCAAAATTTAAAATGAGTGTGGCGGCAAAAGTAAGTAAATGCAAAAATTAGCTACTTTGCATGCTCTATAATCAGTACAAGAAAGCCCGTTTTGTCAGGTAACTGTAGTAAAAAGTATGTTACTATCTCTTTTGGATTTTGCCGACATAAACAAAGTATTGATGCAAAAGAACAGTTTAAGAACGTTTTAAGTACGTTTTAGGTGAGTTCTGGAAACTGAACAATAACCAAATATTCAGATACCGGGTTGTGGCATAGTCATTATTGGAAGCGTCCTAATGTTTGCTGACAATATAACAATTGTTGCCAGAGGATCTACTCCAGTTTTAGTCAGGAAAAGGCTGCCGAAGTTTTTGAGTTGGCAAAGACTTGGTTTCAACTAAACGGACTGAGTGAAAGTCCAGTTGCTTTGGAATTTGGTATGCCGTGGGACCACGGGGGGGTGGGGGCGGTGGCAGCTACTAACAACACCAAGGGGTGGGAAGTGGGAATGTTTGTTTGGTGATTTCTGATTTGTCATCTCAAAACATTGTCTTCAGTTGATGTTCAATTTCTTACAAGTGTGAGTAATTTTATCTGTGGTAAAAACCACAGATATCTGTGGTTATCTGTGGTTAACTGTAGTTATCTGTGGTTTTAACCTGTGATACTCAACACCCGATTAAAGGGATAAAGTAGGATTGAGGCTTCCTGGATACGTAAAATCGCAGTTAATCAACAAAATACTATTGAATAGCAGGGGCGGCTGCAGAGGGTAGGCCCAGGGGATAGAAAATTCCAAAATTACAAATGAATAAAGAAATGTAATTATGTGTAAAGAAAGGCATTTAAATTTTCATTTAAATTTTAAAATTCCCCCCTTTTTACTGGGAAGCCCCTCAAACCTTTCGTCCCCCGATCAAACTCCTTCTTGATCCTTGTCAGGCCTACCCAAAACATTATTTCTGCAGCCAACCCTGTAGAATAGGAAAATGTATTGAAATACAATACAGTTAACTAATAAACTATGGTAATTAACATACTTAAATTGCACTAAAAAATAACTGAATGTTAAATTTGACAGAAAGCACAATGAATAGCACAGGTATTTGATCATAATGACACTTGTGAATACAAATAAGATTTAGTCTTTGAGATCAAATAAACTACTTACAAGAGACAAACTAGGCCTACTGTGAATTAATTTCTTTGAAAATAATCTGTAACAGTTTTTCTGTTTTTGAACAAAGAAATATATTTGTTTACTCTATACTTTCAACTTTCATGTTTTGTTACACAATTATGTCTGCAATTGGAGCATTGTATTGCAGATGAGGAAAGAGGGGAAGGTCTATGACCTTGAGTGGGCCTGACCTGGCTGGTGACAGTGTTTTATGGTATGTTTACATCCTACTGCCCTTCCTTCCGAGAAAAAGACACTGCTGTTCATTGACTTGACAGTTTTAAAACGTTGACTTGTGTTGGTAATTACAACTGTCTGCCTACATTTAATTTTACTTATTTTCCCTGAACGTGTCCCATAGTGAGTGTGCATGCTTTAAGCTTTCTAAGTGTTTCTTGATTGTTAAATTTTAGTGATAGTTAAGTATAATAGTTTTAATAAGGTAATGTGACAATGTTTAATAATTATTAACTTCTCCAAAAACTAACTTTATTTTCTATTAGTTAGTTTTTTTAACTAACTAATAACTTCTAACTAGTTTGAATTTATGACTAGCTTTCCCAACTTGTAATGAATATGTATTGTTACTCTGCTCTAGTCATATAACACCGGTTCTAATGTATTGCTCCCCCATACCCATATATTGCATGTGCATGTAAAAGAATGTTTTGAGTAAATAAAAGTCTATAACTAATCTCCAAGGTCTTAAACGGGTACAAATTATTAGTGAATGGCTTTGTGGTTGTTGTTTATTTAATATCTCCAAGCCCAAAGACTAAATTTCTATGTTTGTACAGTTGAAACCTATTTCCATAAAAACCTCCTCTACTGAGTAGCAGAGTGGTTTAGTGCTCGCCTTCAAATCTGACATGGCTGGTTCGATTCCAAGCGAGATTGTTACTGAATCCAGATGCCGTTGCTCATTAGGTTCTATTATGGGACCTCTGAAAGTGCAACATTATGAACATTAGCAGAACCACTCACCCTGACTCCTACAAACTGTTCATGAAGAATGACCCAAGAAAGGAGGTAGACACAGGAAACATTGGTAGCAAACAAAGCCATGACGTCGGTAGCCAGTAATATGCGCAGAGAGCGTATATACATGTAGTTGGTGGCCACCCATAGCAAGCAGAAGAAACTGCATCTTGTCAGAAACCGACCTGAAACATTGATTATCAACAGCGTGTTCACATCTCTTATTGGAGAGTACAGTAGAACCATAGATAAAACATACTCCCTTAGTAGATTTCTCATCCTAATGGGACAGCTGAAGACAATTTTATTGTTAGTTCTGTACGGTTTACGTAGAGGTCGTGTTTTGTTTACAATTTGTTTCCCGTTAATACAGTCTTGTTTACAATTTGTTTCCCGTTAATACAGTCATTTAAAACCTCGTTTAACCAAATAATACGATCTAATCATAAACAATAAATTGTCCCCTAGTTATTTAACCAAACAGTAAAGCACAAATCAAGAAATTAACCCTAAAATAATAGAAACAAAATTTCGTCGACACTAGCGCCCAGTGTGGCGTATATGAACTAGACATGAAAAACGAGCTTCAAAATTTACAATGGGATGAGAAGTCTACTTGTGTAGGTTAGTCTATGGTAGAACCTACATTAGATAATGTAATCGAATCAAATCAAACTTTATTGTCACAAAACGTCTATACATAGCATAGCTACAAAACAGGTGACATTGTCAAAATTATAATAAATACCTACATAGTTGGTCATCTTACATTCTATAGTTAAAATTATATAAAAATAAAAATAATGTAATAATGTACATGATAATGATAATGATACATCAGATGACAGTTAAATAATGGAGAAAATTTCACCATTTAGTTATTTTTAACATGTTGAAATTCTGAATGATACAAATAACATAAAATCACCTTTCATTGCCATAAAACATAAGCTTTCGCGTGAGTAAAACAAAATTACACACTAATGTAAGACATACGTAAGCAAACAAAAAAGAATGAATGAAATGTGTTTATTTCCACATAATATATACAGAAAACAAAACATACTTTTTAATACAAAATATACTCACAAAATAAAACTAAGACTAAGTATAAAAAAGAAAATTTTTGTATAAATTAATTCAATCGATTATATGAAATACAGCAGACATAGGCAAGTGCTGCCTGTGCGTCTGCTGGGTTGCTATTTAATATTTATAGTAACCAAGTCATATGGAATTATTGTCTATAAAAACGGTTAATAAAGGAATGTAAACTGTTACTTAAAAAGTTATTAGTTTAGAAAGGAGATTTATATGAATTCAGTAAAAATTGAATAAGAACTAGAACTAGGGTTGCTTTCAGAGAGGTGAAAGCCAGTTGAGCGGAACAAACGTGATTTGATATTTGTATAAGTAATTAAATGTAAAAAGGTCAATAGATGTACTAATGCTGGTTTTATTGATTAAAATTATAATAATTCAAATTTGTTTTACTACATCTTGTTATTCAGATACCTCTTCCAGAAGTGCATTATGGTAGTTTTGACCATGAAAATATTACAGTAGTTGGAATCTGATATTAACATCCAAAAAGTAAAGTATAAAAAAGAGAAAGGTAATTTAACATTCAAATGCAACTGTAGCCTACAACAAAAAAACATTGGGCTACATTTTTCACCCTTACAATCGGTTAAAGTATTTAAGTATAAAAAAACAGTAACTATAAAAAAAACGAGTATTAAAGTATAACAACAGGAGGGGAAATTTGACATTTAAATTCAACCGTGCAACATAAAATGGCTGAAATGTAGGCCTAAACATAAGATATAAGTAAACATCGCATTCAGCTGATTTAGGTGAAAACAGAATAATAATAAGAAGGGAAGACATTCCTTAAATATACAATGTAGATAATATAATTAGAAATTAGTAGCCTACTTCTGGACAAGCCTTGACCAGCCTTGATCCATACCGTGGTTAAAAGTGGACTTCTATAAGCCTAGGTAATTAATTTATTTACTTATGATTATGGTTGTAACTGGACGTATGTATAGCCCGTGGCTTGGCAATCAAATAACAGTATTTATACAGATAGGCTACTGTTATCAACATTTGAAATTACTGTACTGAATAGTTACCAAATTACTGTTTCACAAAATGCAGATTCCATTTTCAGCCGAGCCATTAAAATGAGGATTTGCCGAACAATTATAATTATTACAGAATATTATTTAATGATATAGGTACAACTTTTCACATTTCATAAATTACATGTTAGTTTTGCTATGGTCAAAGGTCCAAATCCAAATGTTCTTTTCATTTGGTTTTTATGTAGTAATTTTCTAGAATCATTGACTTTATATAAAGACAATGCTAGAACACCGTAGATGGCTTGTTAATACCATAATGCAAGCATTTTTGTAATCGTTTCCCCGTTTAACCAACTATTCCAAAAGATAAAAATTATATGGTGCAACACAAATAAACAACCCGATCACCTACCTATAACCTACACTTTACCTTCCTAATCTAACCTCACTTCAAAACACTAATACTCATAAACCACGAATACTCATAAACCCCGAACTACCTTCCCCACATGCCGAAATTAGATCAGTGTTCAATCTGCGTTTTATTAATAAGTGTAATAACTTACTGCACCGTCGATGTAATTCAACATAATATAACCTGTGAGGTATTATCGGATTAAATATCGATTTCGATGCGGTTCGATATATCGCTTATTAGATTATTATTTCTAACATTGGCTGTTTCTAAATTCTAATCAGCTGACAACACAAATAGGTTCCCAAGTAAGTAGTCACCGCGGTCCGTATCCCTCCGCTCCTTGTTTATGCTCCGCGCATTGAGAAAGTAGTTCCGTATATTTTCTCAATTTTCAGTGAATTCCGCGCCTTGAAAAAATTTTTTAACGGAATTTTCTTGTTTATTAAAATCATAGGAATGGTTTAAAAACGTTTAAAAGAAAAGTCTAGAAAGTTAAGAAATACCTTATGATTCTCTTGTTTACATTTTTCTTGTAAACAAAAAACTGTCATATGGCTACTTTAGTCCCATAAGCCTAATGTTAAAAATTGGAAATTTTAAGTTCGTTTTAAATTGCATTAGTATTATCTAATTGAAATTTGCTTGTTTAAAAACCATCTCACTATTAGTCTAAGTAATTTTGTTAAGTTTGGCTGAAATGCGTTCAGCTGTTATTGAGTGATGTTGCTCTATTTGTTGCATTGAAGTTGATCCCAAAGAGCTACGCTCGCTTCGCTCGCTCCGCTCAATGAATACAGTTTTGAACAGGTGGGGACTAGACTACTAGGATTAATGCTGGATCAGGATAGAAGGGGCAAGGGTAAGGTCAAACGCGCCGGTAATCAACTGTGATGATAACGTCGGCCTCATCTATACCAAGCCTGAAGAGAAATTGTTTGATTCTTAGTTTGAAAACATTAATTGATGGTAATTCAAAAAGATTATCATTGGTAAAATATTTACAGATATTTCGATGGAGAACATTAGAAATATAGAAAGAGTTTGTTTTAGAAAAAGTATAGTTTATCTGAAGTGATGAGATACCTACTCGTGAGGAGTAACGGGTACTGTGGGAGTGAGTTATTCCTTGAAATATATTAGTGTGATTTTTAAAGATGTTTATTAATAGGCTTTTGATGAATAACTGTAGAATAGTGAGAATGGACAATTCCTCAGAGCGTCAGTCGGGTATCGTTTGCATTTAAGTAGTACTTCAATAGTCATTACAATTATGAATAATTAAATTAGTTAAATTAAATTCAGTACTTTTACTTATAGAAATTGGCATAAATTTGGTCTTAGATACATTTAGCGAAAGTATGTTTTGATTCAACCATCGTTTTACAATCATAAGATCATGCATAGCCTTATCTCGGACCTCGGGCCAAGTCTTTCCCTGAAGGAAAATTAAGGTTTTGTCAGCAAATAAAAACATTTTACCTTAGTTTTGAGATGTTATTTATATATAATAAGAATAACATTGGCCCGAGAGTTGAACCTTGGACCACCCCGTAGTCTACAGGCATTCTACTGCTATTCACACCACATATAGAAACATACTGTATTCTGTTAGAAAGATAACTTTTAAACCAGTTAAGAGTGGTACCTCTTATTCCCAATAATTCCATTTTAATTAATAATTTTGCACGATCAACAGAATCAAAAGCTTTTTTAAGGTCAAGGAATATTAACATTGGGTGATATTTATCAGAGATAGAACGATTAAGTTCTTTATTTATATCAAACAAAGCATCTGAAATATTTTTATCTCTACAAAACTCATAGGTACTGACGCTTGCTGAGAATGCCATTTGTTTGAAGATAGGAAACCATTTGATCCTTTACTATTTTTTCGATTATTTTTGCGAAGACACTAAGCAGAGATAAAGGGCGATAATTGTTTTTATTGATGAAATCGTTAGATTTGAAGAAACATCTTTTTTTCTTAAAAACTACCTATTCTTTATTTCCCTTACTTTCTTCTCAACTTATGCTTTACTAGCTGTTGTACCCGTGCTTTGCAACGGGAAGAGAACACAAAATAGAAACATTTTGATCTTTACATCTGTTGATTAAATAGTTACACATAAGCCTTTTAAAAACAAAATTTAACCTTTTTGGCCTTTATAGGAGAGATGTTTTCATAAATGTACAAAAATAATAGTACTGCACCCTGTTGGTAACCCTTGTAACTTTTTAATGCTATTCAATATCATAGAACCAACTTGTGTAGTTGAAACAGCTGACAAAATTCTTTTATTTCTTTTAAATATGATTACTTATATAATTAACATGGGAAACTCCAGAGCCACTGGGGCGGAGCCCGAAAGGACTTTTGAGATAAGAATGCGTCTATATGTTAATCGGGAATGTGAGCTATCATCATACCAAATTTCAGCCCAATCCGACCAGTATTTTTCGCATTTACTTGTCACAAACATACATCCATACATCCAAACTTTCTCATTTATAATACTAGCTGTAACCCGCGGGCTTTGCCCCGTTTAACTTCTTAATTTTCAAGATTATCTCGTTCGCATGGCTCAATCACGTCCTGGTTGAAGTTTGTTCGCTACGCTCACTCACCTTTAGGTTGGACTCGTTCGCTGCGCTCATTTGCCTTCAGGTTAGCTCGTTCGCTACGCTAACTCGCCTCCAGGTTGAAGTTCGTTCGCTACGCTCACTCACCTTTTGGTTGCAAATTAGCTGTTGTCATAAATAAATGTAAAAGAAATAATAGTGCTGCACCCTGTTGGTAATCCTTGTAACTTTAATGCTATTGAACATCATAGAACAGAACCAACTTGTTTAATTGAAACAGCTGTTAAGATTCAATAATTCCATTTCTCATAAGGTTAACATGGGAAACTCCAGAGCCACTGGGGCGGAGCCCGAAAGGATTTTTGAAATAAGAATATGCCTATATGTTAATCGGGAATGTGAACTATCATCATGCCAAATTTCAGCCCAATCCGACCAGTATTTTTCGCGTTCACTTGTCACAAACATACATCCATACATCCATACATCCATACATCCAAACTTTCTCATTTATAATATTAGTAGGATTAGTAGGATAGTAACTGTGGGAAAATATAATGTGTAGCGCGAGCGCAGAGTGCCTTTGCTACACTCAAGAAACTTTTCAAAATCGCCTGCAGCTTGTGCTTGCATAAACATTTCTCTCATGTGCAGCAAAGATACACAAATATACCTATTAAAACTGAATTATTATAAGAGTAGATATAATAGTATATTTCGTACCTAGGGCCGAAAATGAGGTGTTGCCGGCTCGAGATAGTTTTTAAGTTCGAGACGAAGTCGAGAACTTAAAACGATCGAGAGCTGCAAAACCATTTTGGTCAGTGGTGCGAACGCTATTTTTCACCACACTATACCCTATTACCAATATTCCCCACAATAATAATGCACACTGATAGTCAACACAACTACAACTAAGGTTATGTGAAGAAATAATTTGAGGAATCAGCAAAAATAATAATAAATGGTTGCCAGGCAGCGGTGACGATAAAACAATTCAGTTGAGTATTTCATATGCATTCATGTTTTAAGAAAGTAAGCGGACAGCTGACTTTGCGGCCCTAGGGGTGTAAAAACCTGCTTGGTCCCCAAATGACGATGACAGCTGGTATGGCCAGCAAAACGTAACTTTCAGCCACCAATTGACGTATGTAAAACAGCTAAAAACATCATAGTGTGGTGAAAAAATTTTTTATCTAAGGCCAGTGTATTTTTCTGAGTTTAGAAACATTTGGTTATGTAGGGTAATGGCAGGTATTATTGGCACCCACTAGCTATTGGCACCATGTTTTTGATTATTTTTTATAGTACAGCTAAAGCTTGGAAAACTATTTCTAAAGGCTGTGCCTCATGTTCCTCAATATATGGCCTTTTAGTAGCACATAGTTAGTTGTTTCACAGTTAAGGTTGTTATTTTTTAAATGGTTGAGAGTTGAGTCAATCGTCAACACCCAACTCAACCAACAGCATTATTTGGTATTTTTTAAATCCAACAGTTGAAAAGTGCAGAGGTGCCCTCAAAACGATAGCATCTTTAACTCCATAGGGACTAAAAAGGCTTTTTACTCCATAGGCCAAAGAGCCACTATAGACCCGCAACGCATAATGGCTCGTTTTGCTGTAGTATGACGAAAACTAATTTACAAGTTTCTTTTTACTGGAGTTTTACGGCTTAAATAAAAAAAACTAAAACCAGTTTGCACATCTGGACATCTACATAGATAAATTTAATGTAAAATAAGTGAGGTTGGATCTTAAAGAAATGTATTGGGAACAAAATTTGCATACAGCGTATTATGTAAATATATTATAAGTTACTCTTATATAGACAGACAAAAAATATGTATTGGTCTACCTGATTTACTTCTAATCTTTGTTCAATTTTATATTTTTGGTGTATAATCAAATGTATTCATTTAAATGAGGATTAATATATAGATAGGAGTGGGTTAATATCAAGGGTGCTAAAATTACTCTCAGAAGTCCAGTAAAAAACACCTTGCACCGGCCCAAAGTCTACTTCCAATAGTATGAGTCAAATAGTCACTAATTTATTATTAATTTGGGCTTCCTCTAGACTCATTTAGTGTGAACTCCGTAAAGCAAACTCAGCTTCTGCACTGGTGTAAAATATCTGGCTTAGGGCATGGACTCGACACTTTTTAGTACGAGGTAGCTTGTACACAGCATTTGACGCCATACTGTTAGCTATATTATATTATTTTCATTCACCTACACAATATAAAATGACACATTCATCTCAAAAGTTTATAAAATGTTATATTGTTTTTAATCTTTAGATATAAATATCACTCTTAATTTATTGGTAATAATTATGACTATACAAGAGTTCAACCTTGTTTCTGGCCTGAATCTATGATCCTACATTTGAAATTAGCCAGAAAGTGCTTACCAGCGGTAAATCCTTTCTCACGGAAGTTGCGTACACTCTCAGCCAAGACATCTCCTCCCTTGCATCGATTGGTGGCCAAATGGCACAGCATGTAGAGGGGAAAGAACAGAACTGTCCAGTTGGTGCAAAACCATGTGGTGAAAAAAGGGGCGTCATAAATCATCATCTGGAAACATAATTACATTAGATAATTTATGCTGAATTAATAAAACACCGTTTTAGCGAATTTCCCATAATATGTATTCCATGTATGTATGTATGTATTTCCTATATTATAGGGAATAAGCTATTACCGTAGGTCTCATGGTAAGACCTGGACCCAGGACCGATTTACTTTTTCGTTTTGATGTTATGTTTTGAAGTTATGAAATTAATTCTGCATATTTTATAACTTTGCTAACATGATCTTTCCATTCATGTAACAATGTGGAGCAAGCTGGTCTATAGTAGGTTACATCGCATTGATACATGTAACATAGTAGATCGCTGTTCTCAGGTTCAAATGCTGCCAATCACTAATTCTGCGACCCATCTCTAAAAGAAATGTTTAAAACAATAAAAAAAAAACAACAACAAAACACAGTCACATTTAATATTGAACTCACAGGCTGCTGATGTATGCTGGAGGAGTTGGCAGAGATGGGGTAAGAACGCTGGAAGTAAAGGTACTTGATAGCATGAGTGGCTCCAACCCAAGATGCTGTTACACAGACTGTGACACACACTCCATAGTATATCTGCAACAAAGAGATGGGTGATAAAACATACAGAAAGTAAATAAAAGAAAGGTCTTATATATATTTATTTATATATATAAGTGTAAATATATGTTTTAAGTGTTATAAGAGGTTTCTTTATTTACTTTCCGTAAATTTAATAACACGTACAACGCTTAAAATTAAATTCCTTGTTGATGGCCCGTGGATTACTTTATATGACTATAATATTATGATATATCCAACGGCTATAATAGCGGGCTTGTAGACAAACTTATAACAAAAGGACAAACGTAAGAAGTACGTATGTATTGAATTCCCATACACTACAAAATTGCCTATCCAAAGAGCTTCGTAGGCAGGGAATCGAATTCAAAACTACAAACCCTACTCGTAACACCCTGTCTCAAATGGACCGATCAAGAGATAAAATGGAAATGACAGGTGTTTACAAAATCAAATGCCAAGATTGTCCGAGCCAATATGTTGGGCAAACAGGTCGTGTGTTCGCTACTTGCTACAACAAACACAGACCCAAACCACGTCCAATCAAACAAAATTCAGCGTTTGCCCAGCATTTAATCGACCTAAACCATAACATGAGTGAGATTTCTGACTGTCTTGAGGTGCTACATAAATGCAGGAAAGGTAGTAAAACTAAACACGTTAGAGGAATTTGAAATTTACAAATTATACCACGACAACACCGCCCCCATATCCTCAACGAAAAACTGCAGAGTTCCAGTTACACTCTATTTTCAATGTGCTAATTCACCAAAATAACCGGCCACCTGACCTTTGTCCTACTGATTACATGGACAACAACGAGGAAGGAGTCTGACACTGCAGTCTACTACCTGTGTCGGGACCGTCCGTTTCGTGTGCGTGTGATATGCCTATCAATGTCAATTAAATGTTTACTTTCCGTAATTAAATGTTCGTATTCGTGTATTTATTGTGTGCGTGTGACATCGATGTCTTCGTTTTTGTAACCCTGACGATGCCGTATTTACGGCGAAACATATATGTAGGTTGTTGACCTCAATCAACAATTGGATTACTTGACGAGGTATTGTACCATAATATTATAGACGTACAACGCTGATCAAGAAGTTATTTGATAAAACATACTCCCTTAGCTATAAGCTTACCTCTACTTTGGAATCAGACTAGCTTTTTGTACTACAGTACCATCAATAAGTCCTCCTATACTTAGTGTTCCTATATTTAATGTTTATATAAGGCCGAACCTTCCATATAGCTTTCCAAATTTCCAAATAAAAAAAAAACTTAAACATTTCTTAACTGATAAAACACTTTGGTTTCGATGAATTGTAGGTTAGTTTGATTTAGTTTTAAGCCTAGTGACGCCATATGAATAAAGATATTTTTTCATTTCATTCATAGCTGGAAAATACTTAAGTAAACCAGTATTTACTCAAAGACAATTAATTTGTTGATTTGGTAGAGTCAAATAGATTAGGTAGGAATAGATTAAGTAATTAAATGATTTAATGAAAATACAATGGACCGCAATTGTGGAGGGGTGTGGATTCAAGATTAAAATTCACTTTATTCAATATAGGCTATACATTTTTTTGTGAATGGCATCAAGACTAAAACTTATGACTAAAACTAAATATGAATTTACAATACTCAGTGCATATTTGCTAAATATAATCCAAAAGTCAAAATATTACAAAATATTATTTAGACAAAATTAAACAAGTTGGTTTACTGATCATCTAATTTAGTAACAAAAGTAAAATATACACATATTTGGGTTTTCCCCCTTTAGCCCAATCAGTTTGGATAATCAAGTCAGTGACATGTCTGAGAATGATTCCCAAATTGACTATGTTATCTTGAAAAAGTATTCACTAGAGTATCCTGGATGGTCTAAAAGGAAATTTTTTAATGTCCTTTTTAAAAATTTTAAGATCTGTTAGAAATTTAACTTCATTTGGTAAGTTGTTGTCAAATTTTATTCCAGCATATACAGGTTGTTTTTAATATAGTCTAATTCTGTGGTGATTAAGTACCAAATTGTTCTTATTTCTTGTGTCATAGCAGTGGAAATTTTCTAATTTTAATTGGTTCTCCTCATTGTTATTTACATACATTATTGTTTGAAAGATATACAGATTTACCACTGTAAATATACTTAACACACTCACTCCTGTGTGGTGAGAAGCTTTACATACAGGGGAGTGTGATGGCTGGGACTGAACCTGTTAATTCCTTAAATTGCATGCATGGGGATTGGAAGTAAATTTTAACAGAGCTCTAATCGCCTTCCTTCTGTAAGACTAAAATTTTAGTAAGGTTATTTTGTGATGTTCTTCAGTATAGTAATAATTCAAATTAAATGTGAGAGTGTACATGTGCTTAGTATAGAGGAGAATGGAGACCCGCGTAAACAAAAGAATGTCACTGAACAGCGTACATGTCAAAATACCGATCACCAATGTTTAGACGGGTGGGGTAGCCTCAGCCCGTGTCGAACTATCGGGTGTCGAACTATCAAAGGTTTACTGTATTATGATACATTGATTATTGGTTTCTTAGTTTTTTTTATTTATAATACAACAATTATTTATTTTATATTTGGGTTTTAGGGGATTCTGCCCCTACAGGCTCAGAGGCGTAAATGACACCCCCGCAACACCCCCGGTGCGGGGGTGCACCGAGATCCAGGGGGCACCAAGGTCCAGGGGGTACCAAGCTCCGTCTGTCATCGCTCAGCGCAATCGGGGAAAATTTTTTTTCTGTGACCGCTGGAGACGATGATAACCTCAAGAGCGAAGAAGATATTCAAGATTTTGAATACTTTTTCGCGATCTCGGAAAAAGATGTCACCGTTTCCATCACCGCAGGAAACGATGATAATGTCTTAAAGACCGGAGAAGATATTCATAATTTTGCCACAATTGCGTAAAAAAGATTACGTTGTTTCCGTCACCGCGGCTTTTGACACTGTGACACATCAATTGTTGTTTAGAAAACTAAGATTTTTAGGTTTTAGTGATAGCGCAGTTGCATTGATGGAATCATATCTGTGTAGTAGAAGTCAGGCAGTGTTCTTTGACGGTGTTCTGTCGGATTTTGTGGAGACTCAACATGGCGTTTCCGCAAGGGTTGATCTTAGGACCTTTGATGTTTATTATTTATGTTAATGATATGCCTTATAATTTACAAAATGAATGTGTTTCTTGTTATATGTATGCTGATCATGTGTGTCTAAATTTTAAAACTCATAATAGTCGAGTCAATATAGGCACTTGAGATGGAACAAATTCCAACAAATGGTTTTTCGACGGTTTTTGGTAGTAATAGGTGTAGAAAGAACCAGGAAAAAAGTCTACCAAAATCGGACAACCGGAAGTCGGGTTTTTCCAAGATGGCCGCCGTGAGGCCCTCAAATCGACAAGATGACTGCAAATTCGTCGATTCATAGTTCCAGGATTGGCCGATTTCCACGAAAATTGGCAAACACATGTAGCACTATATTTCCAACCTTAAATATGAAAACTAGGCAGACAAAGTAACCCAAAGATGAATTTTCAGGGTATTATGTGCTAAAAAATAAGATTTTTTCCCTCAAATTTATGTTTTTCTAATATTTTGTACAAAGTTTGTTATAATTTCAAATTTATTTTTTCACCATTAGATTCAACACAAAAAACCTAACAATTTAGTATATTGAATCTTTATTCTGCTTCAATTTGTTACAGAGATATTGAAAGTAATAACTTTAGTATGTTTTCTTGCCGAGATAACTCAATATTAATCTTATGGAGAATAAGCATAAATATTAATATTATTTTTCATTAAACCTATATAGATAAGACTTTTTGTTCTGCTTCATATTATCTGTTTTAATATTTTTTTTACTAAAAATTCCTTTTTTGGCAGTTACCATTGCAGCAAACCTACGTATTCGGTTCCTCAGTTTTAATCATAAAGATAATAAGCAAAAATCAATTTTTTTATTAGTCCGAGAAATATAGAATATTACCTTAAAAAAATGCAAGAAAACGTTTTATGGTTTTATGTTGTAGTGTTGGGTATGCAGAGTAACATAGTAAAAATTTCCAAAAATCGGTCTACTGGAAAACCCCTAAAATCAAGATTTAATATAACGGATTTTCTCATCATTAGAAAAATTTAAAAAAATCCACATGCATTTTCATTGATATTGACTTTAGACCACCACCGATATTTATTGGTGGTCATTTCTTCATTTCGATAGGGAACGTGTTTTTGGCCGTCATTTTGGATCCCCCTATTGGGTATAAATATTTTGTTAAATGTAATGACAGTGTCATTTCAATAGGGAACGTGTTTTTGGCCGTCATCTTGGATCGGCCATATTGGATATAAATATTTTTTTTAATGTAATGGCAATGTTGTGACACATTATTTTAAACTAGATTTTCACGCCCATTCCATTGCCAAAATGACTTTTTAAATATTTTTTTTGTTTTAAAGATATATTCAAACGAAAATTCTCTTGCATACATTTCTTAAGGACGTTCCGTATTTTGAACATTTTTTAAGATTATTTTTTCTTATATCTCCAGTACATATTAACGCTTGCAGTTCGTTCTAGCCTTAAACATTTAGTGATGTAAGGGCTTTCATTTGAGCTATTGATCATTAAAATCTGACGAGTTAGAGACTAGTTACCAACCCCAACAAAATATTAAATTTCACTTTTTAGAAATACATTTTTATTAAAATATTTATATCTTGGGTTCTTAATACGCCACCAAGTTCTTTCTGGTTTCATATTACTCAGTAAATGTTTGGGTTAATTTTTTTAATCACTTAATAAAATGTGACAAATTTAATATGGGTCTGTCTTATTTAACAATATTTTTTTTCGAGATTTGTCTTTAGTTTAAGACATATACCCTTAAATCGAAAAATAACTCCCAATACTCTTTATAATCTTAAAAGATTCATCAAAGTATTGACTTTTACTGTATTTATGGATTATTTATTGGGAGTTATTAGAA